GGGATTTTTAAAAAACGAAATATCTCCCGTTGGAGTGGACTTTGAGATTTGAAACTTTCTAGATCTTTTTTATGCCCAAACATACACACTACACACTGACTAAAATTAAAAAAGTGAAAAAGCATTTTTCTTTAATTGTTTTACTCAGTTTTATTATTTTTTTATTATTCTTTTTGTTGAATTTTAATTACAGTTTCATTTCAAGAAAAGAAATAACAAGACAATAAGATTCATAGCTTTTTAAAAGCATACAGGACTCTAGCCAGGGCATAATCAATAATTAATTCAGCATTCATATTCATTATAGGCAATGGTAGGAATTCAGCAGACTTGATTTGAGTAGTTTAATTTTTTTGCACCAAACTTGGTGTGAACTTAGCCTTTACTCTGGCCTAGTTTCAGTAAGTTACTATTTCTGTTGCTATCATGTAAGCAGCGTGTGCTTGCACACAGACACATACTCAGAAGGAGAGTTAGGGGGCCTTTCCCCACAGCGGATGTTTCTCCTCCTCTTGTTTTATCTGTCTGTATCTTTCACGAGCTGGTCACCTGACCCGTTTAGAGCTTTTGAGCGAGTGACGTAACTTTCTTGCCATTTCATTGGTTAGTTGGAGATAATCCCTATGCAATAGCACAGAGAACTCAATATACTGTAGTTAAGGTTTCAACAGACTGATTCAGTTGAACTTTGCACCTGTTGCGTCCACGACCCACTTACAGACCAAAGTCCTCTGAATGTGCTAGAAAAAAGCTTTATTGCTTGCACAATGGTCAATTATATAAATACATGATTTTTAAGCACAAGCTGTTTGATTGACAGGACCTGTGTATGGCAGAAGAGGGAGAGACATGAGCACGGGCAGAGATTTCTTCATGAGGATGAAATGTACGGTCACCAATAGAGGTCGCACTGTCAACCTCAAATCAGCCAGCTGGAAGGTAAGAACACATAAGCATATCATACATCTTCATGCAGCGCATATGTGCATGTGCTAAGTAAAATATGGTTTCGCCGCTCTGTCTGTCAGGTGCTGCATTGCACGGGGCATCTCCAAGTGTGTAGCAGCCGCCCCCCTCAAGTCCTGTGTGGGTTTTCAGAGCCACCCCTCACATGCGTCACTATGCTGTGCGCGCCAATTCCACATCCCTCAAATGTCGACACACCTCTCGACAGCAAGACGTTCATGAGCAGACACAGTATGGACATGAAGTTTATCTACTGTGATGAGAGGCAAGAAATGGTTCACTGATTGAAATATGTGCGTATTGTACATGTGCTTGTGTGTGTGCATGAATAGTGGGCCCAAAACGAATTTAGACATAAAAGCTACCAAAAATAATCTATGAATTTAATTTAATTAGATATAAAATGTTTATACAAAACCTGAAGGCATCCGCAAGCAAATGAGACGTAAACCAACTTAACCTTTCTTAAAAATTTTTGCAGTCTTTTTTTATTTACTTCTAATCTTGAATTGTAAATTTATTTATTTTGTAATTTAGAAACTAATAAACTTCTCTTTGTGCTTATGCTGTCTTTAAAATAAAAGCCACTTGGTTTGGTATTTTGTTATATAATGGAAATATATTATAAACTTTAGACTCTTTAGACTCTGAAATTGCTTGATGATCACATTTAGTTTTTTTTTTCCTTTGTTGATGTACTTCCTATTAAATCTGGAAGTTTATTTATTATTTATTAGCTAAAAGCTTTGTAAAGCTCATTTTACTTTAATCTACAGCCATGAATCATTATTTGCTAGTTGCCAATCAATTGCAGGTGGTTTGAGGGGGAGGGACATTCTCACTCTAGAGAGCATTTGATTGGACAAGAATCTGTGCCGTTCAGGATGAGTCATCAATATTTACAGTCTGTTTGTCTGGAAGATTTTATGTGTACAGTATATCTGCTAAAACTATATTTTATATGTTTATATTTCATTTGAGGTCACTGTATCATTTGTAAACAAACCGTGTTTACCATTGTTTTGTGCTTATGTCAGCGTAGCTAAGCAGCATTTGTGAGTTAATATGTGCGTTTCAAAGGTCACTATTGGGAACTCTTATCAAAATCCTGTTGTGCTACTGCCTGGATTGTTATCAATGTGTGGTAAAGGAAGAGTGATTATGAGTTTTTCTCTTTAGATTAGCCTCATTTTTTTAAAGTTCCTAAAGGGCACAATTGACTTCTCTTACACGTCTTGTATAACAAGCCAGGGGAGTTAGTAAGTCCCCTGGCGCTATGGGGCCGGTGCTGCTCTTCTCAGTGCCTGGTCACCTGTGGCCCCTGGGATCTGCCGTATGTACTCTAGTGCAAAAGCAGGTTACTGTGGCTACACTACAGTGGATGTGTTGTAAGGAGGGTTAACAGATGAGTTCAGATATTAGCGTGCTTCCATTTAATAGGACTCATTATTGACCGCACAGAGTTCATTAAAAGCCCATACTGGAACAGGAAATGAGAGGCCATTCCAGGGTAAAACTGAAGGTTCAAATAGAAGAAAAATAACAATTACATGAGTTTGCATGGAAACATCAGCACAAAAAATGATTTGGTGAAGATATTGAGCATTGCAAAAAATTCCGCTGTAATTAATAGACAAGCCCACATCTGTCTTCAATCTTGCACTCGCTAAAGTGCTTCAAAAACAAACAAAAAAAAATTACGTTTCAAAAAAATTGTTGATACATGAGAGCTGTTCTGTTTTTTAATCCAGCAAGTCGGAAAACAGGCATTAAAGATAATGATCAGACAGAACAAGTACAAATGTCTTGCTCGAGAGATTTATAGCTCCAATAAACAAGGGTCCCACTTGTAATCATTTGTTCTCACTAAGCTACGCAGAGAGTTTACATTGGCTCCCAGCAGCACAAGTTTGATTGTTTTCACCAGATGTAATCGACAGTCATGAATCTTGGTTTAATTCAATCATGCTTTGTTTTGACTGTTCCATTAGTTTTATTCTTGACCTGTCTTTGTGTTTCAGAGTAAGCAGCCTGATCGGTTATATGCCAGAGGAACTTCTTGGCCGTTCGGTGTATGAGTTCTGCCATGCTTTAGATTCTGAAAGCATGACAAAGAGCCACCAAAATCGTGAGTACCTGTTTACATCCAACAAATGCAAATCCAGGAGATTATGAAAACACAATTTGGGTTTCATGTGGTCTTTTTCTGTTTAGACTTGAAAAGACTAAATAGATTTGAATTGGAGATGCCTGTCTAAAAAAAAGCCATAGGGTAGACATGTTCAGTTTTCTTTGTTTGTTTGATTCTCTGTACCTCCATTTCATGTGCTGGTGCAAACTCACGAGAAACAACGCAGTAGCTCATTGTGTGAATATGTCGAGGTCTCAGCCGTTTTGGCTAATTTACCTATCTTTAAATCAATCTCGACTCCGTCCTGAAATGACTCACAGTCTGGAATAGATCCATGCCTCTCATCTCTGTCCATGGGTAAACTGCTTGAGTTCAAAACCTTGTAGACCTGAGGCATTCCCATGGGCTTGATGACTGAGGGAAACAGATGTCCCGCCGGGCTCCAGGAATTGTTGAGGGATATTTATAAACTCAATGGTTGTTGCATTGCATTATTTATTTACTTAACAGTTGCCATAGACTCTACATTTAATGTTTTCGGCTAATTTGCTTTTAAAATTGGCCTCCCAAGAACTGAAACCTACCGTATACAGTAGTTCTTACCTTTAAAACAGTTTGAAAAAAAATCATGTTTTTTTCTCTTTTATGTGTGGAAGCCCATTTCTGCCACATAATAAGAAAAAAATTATGCTTTAGTAAATCATAATATGACATAAGTATGACAAATGTCAAAATTACACAGTAAAACAATTTTTTGTAAAAGTTTTGTTTCACTTGTTTCTTAATTAGGTTTTCCATGCTGAATATGAATCACATTATTTTTGTGTCAAAAAAAAAATGTTGACAACTTATACAAGCTAATCTGTACATGCATAATACTGAGCTAACGGCAGTTCAGCATAAACAGTTACCAAAAGTGAGTTGTACAAAACTTCAGAAGTGTATGCTGGATGGTTTTTGTCTTTTGTGACTAGTCCCACAATGTTCTGGAATGTTCCAGAAAGCACTAGAATTTTACTGAATGTTACAGAAATTTTGAGAATGCTCCTATCCTTGCAAAAGCAAAATATCTATAAAAACATGCAAAATGAGTACAAAAACTTATATGTACTAAACCAATGTTTCATAAGTAATGATTACTAACCTAAATATTTACCAAAATATTGATGCTACATGAAAGTAAACAGTACAATAATAATTATCACCACAGAATTACATAGAACTATACAAAATTTAAGTAAACATTTTTTGTTACATTGTTATGAGATAAAATGTAATAATTCAGAATTATGAGATATAAAGTGACAATTCTGAAATTCTAAGCCATAATTATGAGGAAAAAAAGGTTGAATAATGACAAACAGCAATAATTATGAAATAAAAAGTTATGACATTTTGACATTGTAAGTCAGAATTTTAGATAAAAAGACACTATGACATAAAGGTCAAAATTCTCGTAATCATGACATAAAAAGTCAAAATAAAACAAAAAATGTACTTTTATGTAATGAGTTTGATTAGTGTGTAATAATGTTGACTTTTTAATCTCAATTATGACAGGATGCCATAATTTTGACTCATTAATTATGATATTTAATGTCATAATTTCAACTTTTCATCTCATAATTCTTATGTGACAGAAATTAGCTTTCGTGTTTATGCAGTAGAATGTGTTTCACTGATTACTTATTGATTTATTTACATGAATTATATTTCCAATGCATCATAGAAGTAAGCAATGCATAACTTTTTTATTGTAAAGGTGCACTGAGAGTAGTTCCCTCAAATACAATAATGGACATTTTCCAGTTTCATCCTAAACCACAATGTCATCCTACTGAATACAAAGGCTCCTTTCCAATCTTGTTTTGAATGTGATTTTGTTTGTACATTCAGAGGAAACTGATTTGATTGCTGTTGCCACATGTGGCATAGAGGCTGAGTAGATGGTCTGAATCCCATTATATGTCCTTTGACTTCATCTGTAACAACCCAAAAGCTCTCAGATTTGCTTGTTCAGGATGGCCCACCTGATTAGCTTGTGCATTAGTGGCTAACAAACCTTTGAAGTGTGCAGGACCTCTGATCTGGTTCCTCTGATGTCTTTAATCCAGATCAGTGCTCTGGTCTTCTTCACTGGCCTCTTCCAGTGAAAAGTACCTGGAGTATTACATAATAGTAAGATCTTTTGATTTGAAAAATTACTAAACTGACATGATATGCAGTAATGGACTTTATTCAAAGACAGTATTAAGTTTAAGCCATTTACATAGGTTGATTCACACATTTTAAAACTATTGCGTTCATATCGCCATTTACATGCTACAAAATGCTGTGAAAATGCAAATATTTTGTGCCTGAGATTTTTTTACATTTAATTTAATTATTTATATATGTATAATTGTGTAAAATTGTCTAAAGAATGCTTATAAGGTTAAATATAAAAATGAAATAATAATTAAGTTTTTAAATGTAAGAAGTCTGTTATGCTCACCAAGGCTGCATTTATTTGATAAAAAATACACCTAAAACATTTATATTGTGAAATGAAATAACTGTTTTCTGTTTTAATGTATTTTTAAATGCAATTTGTTTCTGTGATGGCAAATATAAATTTTCAGGAAGCAGACGTTAGTCTTCAGTGTCACATCATCCTTCAGAAATCATTCTAATTTCCTGATTTAAACAGAAATTCAACAAAAAATTACATAATGATTATTATTAACAACTAATTTTTAGGTGCTTGACTGATGGTCAATTTAACTTGATTAGCATTAAAGTAAAAAGAAAGAAAATATTTAAATGCTTCACATGCAAAATGTTGGTGCATGTTACAATCTCTGTTTTCTTCTTCAGTTTGTAATAAGGGTCAAGTGGTGAGTGGCCAGTACAGAATGCTAGCCAAGCACGGGGGCTACGTTTGGATGGAGACCCAGGCGACCGTCATCTACAACAATCGCAACTCCCAACCACAGTGCATCATCTGCATCAACTACGTCCTGAGGTACTGTGTTAAATGACACACTCACAGAACCCTGTCACAGTTAATGCTTTTATGATATTCTTCTCATTCTGTCATTATATTTCAGTTCTGTTGAGGAGCAGTCCGTCATCTTCTCCCTGGATCAGACAGAGTCTCTGTTCAAGCCCTACCACATGTGTAACATGGGAGAACTGTTCAGCCAGGGTGGCGCTTCCCCCATTTCTGAAGCTGAGGACATTCTTTTCACTAAGCTCAAGGAGGAGCCTGAGGGGTTAGCTCAGTTAGCTCCAATGCCAGGAGACGCCATCATTGCCCTGGACTTTGGTCAGAGCGCCATCCGGCACTACTTCAACCATTCCCCCCACAATAGCTTCACCCTCTTCACATCCTCAACCCCCGATTACAAATCTACTCCCATCCTGCATGCATGAACTCTTGCTCCTTCCCTTGGCTCTCCTTACTCTACCTCACAATCACAACCAATCACACACGTACACTGCCCAGGTCATAAGCTGCGATGTTGCAGCAGACGTTGTTGTACTGTAGCTCAGTGGCACTGTAGCTTGGCTTTGCTGCAGAGTACGCAATATGTGACAACGTAAAAGAAAGCTCTATCTATCTGCTCCACAGCACATGGGTATCTTATGGCTTAGCATTGGCTTTAGCATAAACAGTTTTGTATTATAAATGTTTAACATTTTTTTTTTATAATAAAGGTAAATTTTATATTTCAACATCACCTGTGCTTTTGAAGGTTTACCAGTGGCAGTCGGCAGTGTTTGTGTGTTTCTTCTCACAACAGGGCAATTACGGGTATACTAATTTCTCTTTTCATCAAAATGCATGTCTTCATACGTAAAACCACTGCATGGGATGGAAATCACCACCTTGTGATGTTCTCAACACTTCTATAATTGCTTTTGGTTACGGCTGAGGTTGTTTTTAACATCTTATTTATTTTATTCTCATGTAACTCTCACTTGAGCCAGACAGTAGTGAGCATTAAACTTTTGTGCATTGTGTTGTTTAAGGTGTGTCTGTCCACTGTTAGATGATCCACCTTGGCTCTTTATGTAATAATTCTATGAGACTGCACATCATTTCAGTTATTTTTATCCCACAAGTGTGTTGACTTGTTATTGTCGTGCATTTGCAGATAGGCCAGATTTTGAAGAACCGACTTTCTTCTCCAAGTCCACCAAGCTTCCTGTGGTGGCACCGTCGTGGGTTGTGGACACGCCGCCTGATGGCAGTCCTGATAGAAAACTGGCCAATATGCCGTCCACCTTCACCAGACCCCAGGTGCCTCCTGCGGGCAAATGCACGCCCTGTTCCACACCCTGCTTGAGTGGCCGCAGCAGCTGTTCTACAGTACGTCCCATATCCATCTAGTTATGTTATATGTCATTTAGTTTTCATGGTCACTTATGACCTCCCTGTTGAAAAAAAAACAGCATACCAGGTTAGGTATGTTTTAATTAAAGCATGGCAAGTCATTTAGTTTTCATGGTCACTTATGACCTCCCTGTTGAAAAAAAACAGCATACCAGGTTAGGTATGTTTTAATTAAAGCATGGCAGCTGGTTTGACCTGGTTTAAGCTGGTCCTTAGTTGGTCATGAGCTGGTTTAAGCTGTTCCTGAGCAGGAGCTAGTTGTTTAGGACCAGCACATGACCATCTTAAACCAGCTGCCATGCTTCAAAACATACCTAACCAGCATATGCTGTTTTTTCAACATGGCTTTCTCTGAATGTACCTTTAAGACTTATATATTCAAACAAATTCCATTTTTTGGTTTCCTCCTGGTATGGCCTCTTTAAATAGTGATGCAATTAAGATTTATTTAATATTATGATTGTGTTGAAGTGGTTTAATGTGTTTGAATGTATATGTCTGCAGCCTAGCAGTCCAGTAGATTACTGTGACAATGGAGAGTGTGATCTGAAGGTGGAGCTAGCAGAGAAGCTGTTCGCCCTTGAATCTGTAGCAACAAATCCCACAGACTCCCGGGTGAGTGTGGAACAATACTTACAAGCAATTTAATCTGTAATAGATCAAATGATATTCCAATTCTACCACAATTTTCCTTTTTTTTTGTTTCATTTCTTTTGATGAAAAGAATGATTTAGACACATTAGAATCACGTTACACTAAAGACTCCATAATATCGGCTGAAAAAATAGCTTTGCCATCACAGGAATAATTTAAAAAAATATATATATTTAAATAAAAAATAGTTATTTCAGTTGTTGATACATTTCACAATGTTGCTGTCAAAAATAGCAGCCTTGTTAAGCATGGGAGACTTCTTTAAAAAAACATTAAAAAATCATAGCAAACCCAAACTTTTAAATGGTAGTGTATAATGATAATTTTCAACTCTTTCATCCCAATCCTGGGCATACAGACTGGATTATTTAAAAAAAAAAATAATCTAAATTTTTGTTCTAAAAATATTGCTAGTGTATATATTTTTACAATATTTTTTTCTCATCAACTGTATGTTTTAAGTACTTATTTGGTTATCTAACTGTGTTCAGTTGGACCTGAGTGATCTGGACCTGGAGACTCTTGCTCCATACATCCCAATGGATGGTGAGGACTTCCAGCTGCACCCCATCTGCCTGGAGGAGCCGGTGTCTGACGCAGGTCCAGGCCTGAGCACAGCCTTCCAGCACAGCTTCAGCAGTGTAGCTGACCTCTTCCAGCCCCTGGGTCCATTCCCTCCTCACAACAAGAGCAGCACTAACACATGTCCGGACACGGCTCATGTGCAGCCTTACCATACAGCACCAAACGTCCCACTTTTCTCTAAGGAGGGTGGACAGATTCTTCAGTGGCCCCCTGACCCACTCTCACAGTATGAGCGTACAGATATTAGATGCATGGATGACCGAAGCACAGCAGATCCAGGACAAACATGCAATTTCACCACTGCACTACCACAGCAAAGGTGAGTAGAGTTCATCATTACCTTACAAGTGTGATTTATATTGCAATACATAAACTGGGCACCAGTGATTAACTAGATTAGGATTTACACAAGGAAATCATCTTTGCAAGAAAGTGAATTGTGTAACCTTTTGTGTAGGTAAAATCGTCTCAGGTTACGTATGTAACCCTA